CTAATTTTGCCCTTCATGACAACTGTGAGGGGGGTGAATTTTTTTATAACTCATCAGTTTAAATTATATTAAGCCTTAAAGTTCCGCATAATTAATTAATTAAATTAATAATTAATCAAGGAGCGTGGCCACTTGAGTGACAGGTGGACTGCAACTCTGCTCCAGAGTGTGAAACTCGCTAGACTGTGAAACTTAGAAAAATGGCTTTAAAGATTTTTATTTGTCCAGAAAAAATTAATTATGGGTAGGACACTGGAAATCTGGCAATTAGATGTTTTAATTAAAATTCTCAAACTTGATTTTTACCGCTATTTTGAAGTTATTGTAGGTACTCTGCCTTTGCACTGTGTGCAAAAATTGAGATGTCACCCCAAGGCAAAAGGCAGTAGCTTCCACATTATATACAATATTTGGGTGTTATGAACCCCGCTTTTACAAGACTCGATCAGGAAGGGGTTAAGCAACATAAAAAGGTGCAAGACAGGAGATCAATTTAACCATTTATTAATGGCAAAACGGCTTACGAGTCACATTAATTAACCAACAGCGGATATAATAAAGAGTTAGATCAACTAAACTAAAGCAAAATAAATCAATATGTATCCAGTAAACAAACAAAACACAGATCAACGGAAACATTAAAGAAAGCACAAAAATAAACACAGAAAGAGAGAGAAAAAGAGCACCGCTTATCAGCGGCTGGTTGGGCAACAAGACACGCACGAAGCTCACTGGATAATCTCCATCGTCGGCGGCTGGACGGCAGCAGCTTCTCAACAAGTGCGAGTCATGCTCAAAGAGCGTGGTAGTGACTGTGGCGGACACGCGCTGGAACAGAAAGTGCACACCAACACAAGCGCAACTTCCGCCTTATATTCCGTCCAGAGCGTCCTTACTCAAGCTGCAGGTGTGTGGGGGCGGAGCTCAACCTCGGGAGAAAGAGATGATCCAAATCAATATATACACAATACCCACAAATAAACAAAACGTTGACCGTAACACTTCTCCCCCTGAAAACAGAAGCAGTTTTCTCCCTTTCTACTTTTATCCTTCACCACGGCAGGTATAGGACAGAGAGGGGCAGGTGCCCACTACCTGGTTAGGCTTCCCGCCAACCTGGCAAATGTGACAGGTCTTGCAATACTTGGCGACATCAGATTTTAACCCTGGCCAAACGAAATGCTGGAGCACCCTATTATAGGTCTTATTAATTCCGAGGTGTCCAGACCAAGGATGATCATGAGCCAAGCTTAAAACAGGCTGTCGAAATTTCAAAGGGACAACAATTTAATCCACCACATTCCACTCATCCGCCTGCGCAGCGCTCAGTGTACTACTCCATTTACGCATTAACACTGCATCTTTCCAATAAAACTGTTGATTACGGGGTGAGAATTAAATCTTCTCAGCACTCACACGACATTTCTCTAAGGTCGGGTCGTTTTTCTGCGCAGCAATCAAAACTTCACATGATGTTAACATATCAGTAACAAGGTCAAAGCAAACAGGGGGACGAGGAGTCGTTTTAACCGCATCCACATACTCGGGAACTGAATCACTTCCTAACATGTCTAAGAAAATAGAGTCATTGAGACTATTATTTTCCTGCAAATCACGTTTTGCTTGGCCTCGGGTTGTAACAGCACTACTTGAACGCCACTGGCAACGTTTCAGCGAGTAAATCAGACTGCACCTCAATACACGGAGCATCAGTCACCTGTACAACCGGCATGACTTTACCACCAGCAATATCATTCCCCATGATGAAATCAACTCCCTTCACAGGTAAAGATGGACGAACTGCGACCTCAAAACACCCAGATGCCAATTCAGAAGTCACCCATACGCGATGAAGAGGAACGGTTACAAATCCCATTTCAATTCCCTGCACAATTGTGATAGTTTCACATGCAGAGTCCCCACAAAAATCTAAAGTGTTCGACAATATAAAGGACTGAGATCCCCCGGTGTCACGCAAAATTCGTACTGGTTTTTTACCATTGACACCATCATTCAACGACACAAATCCATCGAACATAAAAGGCTGAAAACGGATCAGGAGCAGAAGTAGAACGAGGCGAATGGAGAGCTTTTACCAAGACGGACCCTCAAGGCTGAACGGACAGAACTTCTTGTCGCTCTTGTTTTCGTTTTAGACTACGACATTCAGCCATCACATGTCCCATTTTATGACAATAGCTACACTCTTTTCGGGATTTTAGACTAGAAGGAACCCATTTATTTTTACAATCAGGGGAACTCTCACTTTCCTTTTCTGACAGTCCACCAGTCGCACGCTTAAACACCGTCTTGTGCATTAATGTATATTCATCTGCTAATACAGCCGCCTGTTGCACAGTGCTAACTTTTTGTTTATTCAAGTACAGCGCAGTAAGTTCGGGAACAGTTTTTAAATTCCTCAATCAACATAAGCTCCCTCAAAAAATTATAGTCCGTAGCCTTACATGCTTTTGTCCAGCGATCAAACAATAGGCCCTTCTCACGAGCAAACTGGACACATTTGAGACGCCGATTTCTTCGTGGTACGAAAACGCTGTCGATAACGCTCGGGAACCAACTCATACGCCCGCAGAATCGCAATTTTCACAGCATCATACTGAACACTCTCTTCCAGCGAAAGAGATGCACATACTTCTTGCGCCTTACCTGTTAGTTTACACTGTAACATTAATGCCCAAACTTCAGTTGGCCACTTTAACGCGCTCGCAATACGTTCAAAAGCTTGAAAATATGCTTCAACTTCTTTCTCACGGAAAGGAGAAACTATCGCAATAATTTTAGCCACATCAAAATGTGTGGACGGCACAACTACCGACTCCCCAGCTAGCAGGGGATGTTCTCATAACTTTGGCTGACATTCCGTACAGGTTTGGTTGATGTTTTAGAGAAAACATTTGAATGGATGTTGTTGAGGTAACAGATTATATAGGGGTAGACCGGGTATGGTTGTAACACTTTTTGTTTCAACATCTGTAACTCGCTGAATTTTTAAGCTAGAGTGCTCAAACGTTTATACAAAGTACCCACATTTGTTCACTACAAAAGGCACCAATTCAAATATCTGCAAGTATATCACAGCCCTTATAAATTGATGTCAAATACATTGAGTGCCTTTGCTACAATCTACCCCGCTACCGGGGTAGGTTGTAACACATACTGGGGAGAGTTGTAACAGTCAGACAAAAGAAGCAAAAACAGCAGCCACCTCATAAAGTTTGCTTCAAAAACAGGTTTATTGAAACAATCTAAAAGAACTATACAAAACAATGTCACACTTTCTACGAATGACCACAGCTCAAATCCACTTTCTGTTTGATGCGGGAGTGTGTACGTGTATGTGTGTAAATTAGACTAGTAGAACAAACCTCCTTAACGGTATTTATGCTTACTGAACACTCAACTTTAGTGTACCGAGGTAAAGAATATGTAGATCTAACAAAGAACTGTGTAAATTTGTGTGTGGGATTGTGACTATGTATGAATTTTCTCAATCAGAGTCACAATGGTGACAAACCAATGTTTTTAACCCTAGAGTGCAGACTTGGTGGATCCAAAAACTGCATAGGGCACATTTATCCACATTTCCTTTGGCTTTGAGCTGCCAAAAAAGCTTCATATAGACAACATGAAAGTTCTCAGTTCTATGTAAGGGAATGCTAAAATGTGTTACAACTTACCCCACCCCTGTCATCCAATGTTTAGTTAGCTGTATTAGCATTATGGTTTGAAATTAGCAGTTTAAAAATGCATCACATTTTGCCTGATAATCTATCATTTATTCTAATGTAAGTTATATGATTTTATCTGCAACAGTTAAGTACTAAGTAAAATATAGTTTTGGTCAAAAAATTTTTGATTTTTACATCAAAATCAGTTTTTTCTTTATAAAATCTGCATATACCTATTTACAGCCTTGACAACCATTCATATAAAATCAGGGTGAAAGTGGGTAAATAATGAAATTATCATAGGACTCCTAGCTTATCCCTGAATGGTGTTGTTACAACTCTTCCCATGTTACAACCATACCCGGTCTCCCCTAATATGCTCAATAAAACATTGACTGTTTCAAGATAAGAAAGAACATTCTCTCAGCCACATTAGGATAACATTATAAGAACATCATTGAGACCAGAGGAGATGGAATATTTTTATAAAACGTTCTTGTTTATCGCTAAACATTTTTAGAATGTTTTTAGAGAATGTTATCCTACCTTATAGGAGAACGTTCTGGGAACACAAATAAAACGACCCGCTAAAAACATTGCTAAGAACAATCCATGGTAATGTTCTTAGAACATTTTTAGAACAAAAAATTTCTAGCTGGGTCATTACCAGCTGAAGCAGAATCACTGGAGACAATACTCGAATTTGATGGATCAGCAGCTGTCTCAGAACTACCATTCAAACTAGTAGATGTTTTGGGAATGGTTTGTTTAGGTAGATCTTGAGCAGCCTGCAACTCCAACTGCCGCAGTCGAACTTTTGTGTCAGCATCAATTCGGTACATTTCGACCTGATGTTTTAAATCATCCTGCCTAGCCCGAGTTCTGTCATGAGCGTCCAGTTGTAAGCGAGCTAACCGAATCTTTACACGCCAATCTGAACGAGATTTAGGCGACGCCTCAGAAAAAAGTGAAACCGGTTCTAATTTTGGCATTGAAAACGGTGGACCTACCTCCCCACCAGCCACAGTCACTGG